AGTCCAGAACCCACCCGAGAACTTCAACGCCGAGACGAGGCCCGGACACGGAGGGTCAGAACGAGCAGTCGGGGCGTGGCCCGAACTTGTTCTTGCGCTCTGCTCTCTCAGGTTAGCCGAGCTGTCCCCGTGGCTCAGGAGCTTTTCACGAGGTACGCCCACGAGCACGCGCATAGGTGAGCTTCATCGTTTCACCGCTATCATGGTGATTCCCGCGCATCCTGAAATGCTAAATCGGCCCCGCACACCGATCTTCTACGTCAATGCACGACGCACACTCTCCGGGGCAATGTTTTTCACCACACCGACTTTGGACCGAGAAATTAACACGTGATGTTACGTGTTTTTGAAAGGGAGAGGACCATTGGCCACCTATGCGTATCTGAATAGTTCGAGGATTTCAGGAACTCGGAGTGGGCCTTTATCTGTTCGAGGATTTTCCAAAAACACAGTAGGCCTTTCGACTCCGTTTCTGAGTCCTGAAGAGGAGATTAATGTCCGCCTGGTCTTGGAGATATCCTATTTCAGAAATCTCCTCGAACCGGGAAAAGAGTCGGGTTGATGTTGAGGCTGTCTATTATGACAGTCTAGCAAAGAGACTTCATGTACAGTCCCATTTTGCTTACTCCTCGTCCTTTCTTGCTCCCCCTTCAGCTAACTTCACAAATGGACGAAATCGACCCCGGAGGCCACTGATCGAATCAAATTATATGCTCTTCAATCTATGTTTTTATTTACCCTCCTATTATATGACCTATGCGCACATGGAATACTATACAGGAAATACAATATGTAACTTCCTGTAGCATGAAAAATAACTTATGAATTACAGAACAGGAAATACAATCGTTAACCCTAGGTAATATAAAGCGTGTGAAACTTGAAATATAATACAGGAAATACACTAGACAACTTTATGCAGTATAAGACATGTTACATTTTGTTTACAAACGGTAATTACAATTTTACATTTGTTACATTTCGCACGTTTTTTACAAACAGTAATTATTCAAACAGTTACACAGTTGAGAGAATCCAAACCCTTGATCCGAGTGTGGGAGAGGACGTTGTTAGCCTGTGCACAGCAAACGTTAAACTTTCATTCATATAACCCGGCTTTTCCTAAAAATCATCTATTGACAAATTCAAAAACCCATCTTGTCCCCTGAACCAAGAGGCAAAATAAGGTAATATAAATTGACTATTACTAAGTGAATATGAATTTGGAAAACAACGCAATAGAATGGTGAGAAAAAACAAAACAATCAAAAATAAATAAATAAAATAAAATTAGGAATTTGAGAAAAAAGGCTATTGAAGGCAATAATTGCCATCGCTCAAGTAAATGAATTGAAAATATAGTAATTTAAAATCAAATTATTAATAATGAAAGAAGGTATTTCGTTATAAGTATAATAAGTCGGTGGAACAAGTGGTCCAGTATAACTTCAAGAGAAATAGAACTATTTATAATTATATAATATTGAGGTAGCAGGAGAGAACCAGGAAAAAAGAAAATTTGAAAAAAGGGAAGAGAAAAAAAGAGAAAAACCTTATGGTAATGGGAAGAGTTGTTCTTTCACCTTTTTTTTCTTCACGGTGTCAATTGATATTTTTACTCCCTTCCTCTCCCCCCCCCCTTTTTTTTCCTCATTGCTGATAAACTTGGTTTCTGTTCTCCATTATTTTCCGCCTTACTTTTTATTTTTCCTTCCCTTTCCTTCCTCTCCCTTGCCTTGCCCAATAATTACTGTCCCTTACCCTACCCCTGTCGAAGAAAAAAAGTAACTTTATGTTCTAAGTATTTTTCTTGATGTAGTTCACATTTCTTCCAATATTTTGAGTGATTCAGCATCTTTAAAGAGTTGGTTCCTTTTCGTGGTTAAAGCATTCCCATATTTATTCTTTAGTTTTTTGTATATTTACACATTATTCTGCAATATTTCAAGTAATGATCCAGATTCTTAGCCATTTCCCCACAGAAACATTGGTCACTATTTCGCATTTTAGATCTATGTAGATAAAGTGGGAATCTACCGTGGCCTGTTAATAATTGTGATTTATTGTGATTTGCGACAAAAGCATTGGGAATTTTATCAATGGAAGAGATCCATCCGTCAGTATAGGAGTTGTTTTGTTGTACTTCCAGCTTCCACCGGTCATTTCATTTATTATATATTTGTTTTGCTATTTCGGTGCTGATAAACTTTTTCGACAATGGTAAGTAAATTTTTTTTCCGTAATTTATTGCCTTTTTGCCAGTTCATCTGCGATCTCATTGCCGAAATTTTCACTACGTCCCTACACATATACCTTAATTATTTGTTGCTTTTGAGTTGCTTTGTGTAATCTTATTTTTGTTTCGTTTATATACGGGTTTAGGTTATCAGGATTATTAATTTCTTTGAGACATGATAAAAGTTCTATAATTATTCGATACCTTTGATCTTCTTTCTGTTGAGTGACATATTTTGGTCCTACAGGTTATAGCTATAGCATCTGCCTTAAAATTGTTGCTATATCTAGGTAGTGAGTACTATCTCACTGCCAATATTTTTGAAAATTTATTAAAAACTACAAACGCTGCTCCTGGAATATATAAATCACATGAGCCATCGGTAAAAATATAAATCTGAACATTCTATCAAAATGTAGTTTATATGGAAAGCTCATTTTTTCCGCTGGGTGGCATTCCCATTTATCAACTACTGATCTAATGCCCTGCGTATCATATACTTCGTTCGCCCAAGTGAATGGTTTCTTTTGCTGCATTATATTATCTACTTCCACTTCTTTTTCTATCCTAAGCTGAACGTATGGTAAGTTTGCTAATATATTTAATGTATTGGTATACACAGTATGGTATGCTTTAGTTATTATTAATATTGGTATAACTTGGATTGTTTTTAGTTCTTTCTTCATAATTTATACGTTTCTATACCGTATCAGTGCCGCATATGTGATTTTTCTTTCTGTTGCTCTTTTGCATATTTCTCTTAAATGTTTCTCTTTCATTCCTTTATTCTTTTCAGTAAACATATTTAAATTCATTGTCAATTCTGATACTTTTTCTTTTACGTATTCCAGGTGATGTAAGAACGTAAACCTTCGTCAAATATTACTCCTAAAATGTTTATCATGTCTAAGTAAATATTATTATCACCCAGTTTTAATAACAAAAGGCATTTTATACCTTCCTTCAAATAATATGTAATGAGATTTTAGTGTAATAAACTCAATTTGCTTAGCTTCAATCCAGTTGTCTATTATTTGTGAGGTTTTATTTGCTGTTTGTTGTAACTCCTTTCAGACTTGCCTTTGACTATTATTACTATATTGCCAGCAAATGCTTGAATGAATGCTTTCTCCGAAACTCTTTTAACTAACAAATCTGATACTGTTATTGTCCATAATAATGGACCTAGTGGTGACCCTTGGGGGCAGCCTTTCTTTCATTTCATCCTTAGATTTACCTCCACAATTTATATATATATATATATATATATATATATATATATATATATATATATATATATATATATATATATATATATATATATATATATATATATATATCCTTCATGACTGCTTCCAGAAGTCGGATCAGATTTTCAGGACAATTCTTTTCCGCGAGATATTTTATTATATTATCTAGCCTAATTGTCTTGAACGCATTATTCATATCTAGAGAAATCAATAAATCCGCTTCTTTCGCATCCCATACATTACCTAGTGCTCCGAAATGTTTTTTTTTTTTTTGCGGCCTCGTGATTGCAGTGTGTGTTTTCTAAACCATGGCGATAAAATAAGCTTTCTGTTCTGTGTTTACTTTTACGTGCCTTATTTGATGCTACTGCTTACGTACATATATTCCCATGCATTCGCTTTTCTGCCAAGGTGACTTGTTAAACAACTATGCCGATATGTGTGCGTGCATCGAGTGTAGTGTACCAAACAATCTGCTTACTGCTTCGTAAAATGGCGCAATTGAGTGTGCCTAATCATATTGAAAATAATCAGGAGCCATCTTAAGTATCTTAGGAGGGCCATTAAAGAATCATTGTAATACCGAGTGGTCTGTCTTGCCGCCCCGCCACGGTGGTCTAGTGGCTAAGGTGCTCGGCTGCTCACCCGCAGGTCGCGGGTTCAAATCCCGGCTGCGGCGGCTGCATTTCCGATGGAGGCAGAAATGGTGTAGGCCCGTGTGCTCAGATTTGGGTGCACGTTAAAGAACCTCAGGTGGTCGAAATTTCCGGAGCCCTCCACTATGGCGTCTCTCATAATCATATGGTGGTTTTGGGACGTTAAACCCCACATATCAATCAAATCATGGTCTGTCTTGTCCCGGAGCGTTCCAACGAGGAAAGTGCATAACAGCGCAAACGACAGGACGGGATAGAAGAGACGAGAACAGAGCGCTGAACTAACAACCAAAGTTGATTGCAATCCAACTGCAAAATATAGGAAAACAGAATCGGCGCATAACTACACAACATCAGCAAAATCGAACATACATGTGCCGAACGGCCTACCTTATCAAGAGCCAGTCATGTCAGGGGACCTTAGATAACGAAATTCACAGCCGTGAAGAAGAATCAAAGGTACGTTAACACAAGAAGCACCAAATTGTTGAATGTGGAAGGCTTCGCTAATCTCGCGCTCGCGCTCGAGCAAGGTTGTTAGTTCAGCACTCTGTTCTCGTCTCTTCTATCCCCTTTTGGTCATTTGCGCTGTTAAGCGCTTTCTCCATCTACCATGCAGCACCAACCAGCCCAATCAAGCACCTTTTTAAAGTTCCAACAAGCCTTTTCAGGCAATTTTCCATAGGCACATAATTGTGCATTACGCAAGCTTAACAGGTTTCCACTTCAGGATTCTTTATTGTGCGAGTTTATATTGCATTCTCATACCATAGGCGCTACGAGGTAGTAGAGGTTGCCTGTGGACATCACCCGGAGACATACAGCTTGCTACCGCTACGTGCATAATACATTACTCACCTGGTGGCAGACCTGTTTGACTCGAGGCTCTCCTCCGAAGAAGGAGGGCGAACGTGATTGGTGGAGACGCTGTCCGGCTGCAAGTTGCGCATACGGAAGCTCATGTTGGTTGGTGAACTGCGGCCGCTTGAGCAAGGCTGGCTGATCGTGTAAATGTTCACATTGCATTTTTCTTCGCTTTCCGTGCGTGTGTCAGGAAGCGTCTCTCCCATGCTGCCGGGCCCTTTCTGCGAGAAACACAGAATGAACAATGTGGAACATGCTTTAGAACCAGTCGCTACATTTTCAAGTTATCCAAAGATCAACATCCGATCACAAGTACATCATATATTTCAAACTGCACCAGCAGAAGCTACTGGTAAAATTAGTAATCTTTCAACTTTGTTAATGGTTTCTGCAGCAACATTGCATGCCACCATACAACCACCAACATTACCACCAAAGAACTCTGTTGTCATGGTTAACTAGAAAAAAAATGAAAAGTGCGACAGTTCATTGAAGTATTCGTGAGTAGGTTATTACCCCTCTCTAAAAATCTCAGTTCGTATTTGCTACCCGTTTATCATAATTGTTTTTTTTTCTACCCGTTCATGATGACCCTATGCTTATGATGCATTGCAACTTAGAACCAGCTGTTCACCTTAGACTCCTGCCATGCTGTACTATTTGTGGTAGATATAAAATTCGGCAGATCCCACGTGCTCCGGGAATCAGTGTCATGCAAGGCATGCCTAAGGAAAGTGACTGTGGTGCAATTGTTTCTTGAGCGAAGCAATACAAAATGGCGCTAAACATCTGTACAAGTGTAAAACGCAGCGACTTGTATGTTGATCACTCTCAAATGTTTTACATGACCAGTTCTTAACAGTCACGAAACGATGCCAACAGGAACGTTGGTATTTCCAACACCAAAAGCCATAAGTGGAAATGCAGCATTTGTGCTTGCAAAGATCTCAGCCCTAGATAGTACTGCGCAGACCAACTTGAGCGGATCGTGCTGAACTACAATGGACGCTAACAAGACGTGACGCCTGTGTAATTGGAGTACACATGTAACCTTTATATAATTTATTGTTCAGCACTCTAACCACAATTACCGTTTCTTCAACACTACGTCTGCATAGGGTTTTTTTTTTCAAAAGTGTTTGGAGACGTGGCATGGCTCCACGGTAGAATACTGAATTTCCACGCACAATGCTTCGATTTAATTCCTCCTGCGCCACTCATATTAATTGTTTGAACTCGTGGGGTATGCACGGCCGATGTCACTTTTTTAACGCTTTCGCATTTAAATTACGAGTCACGATGATGAACACAATCAGTTACTTGAATGAGGTCCGAAGTTCACACCATTCCCGTCTCCTGTATGCGTTCGGCCAGTATTTGTCAAGAAACGTAGAAGAGCTTCGTCGCCGGCGCTCTTCAGAATCTCGCGATTTATTCTCCGCGGAGAAGAAATTGTTGCCTACAACTTTTGTCTTTTTTGCAGAAGAAAGAGTAAGGCGAATCCTCTCAGATAAGGAAGGTCACGTTTTTGGGCAGAGCTTGTTTGCAAGAAATGCCAGATCAGTCATTGAGAGTAATTTTTGAAAAGCGCCGCGCCAAAAAAAGAAAACAAAATGCCCTTTGTTTACATCTTGCCAAAACGCAAAAGAATGACGTTCCTTTCTGGGTAATAGTATGAGGAAGACACACGTGGCTTGAAGGGGTCTTATGCTTCCTACAAAGACTGTCTTTTAGAGCAGTGTCTTGTAGAGCAACTAGCGAGCCCTTTCTGAGGAATCCGTGTGCGGAGAGCATCGACGTGGAAGTCCTTGACTATTCGCTTCCACACAATGAATTATTGGAGAGTGTGAAGGTGTGCATAACAACGAGTTGGACTCACGGTCAAGGTGGGGTTGACGATGGAGTCCTTCTTAGAACTGCTCATGGTACAGTCTACGGCATTGGCGTTGCCAAAGAGAGGGCGGGCGTGTGCATTGCGTCGACTGTAGCAGCTGACGCATTCCTTAGCCGCGTTGATAGAAAAGTGTCAGAACGTTTAGCTGATACTGCGGAACACATCCTTCGTTAGGTCGACGACTATCTAGTGCTCGTACACAAGAATATTTACAACGATGACGTCTTTGATGAACAATTTTTAGAGAAAATGCCTGTGCTCGGAGGCTCGCAATAGAATTTCTTCAAGATATGTCGCTACAGTTTTTGAATATATAGTTACTCTTAAAGGCAGAGCACGTGTGCTGGCGTTACCGTTCATGAGCCACAAAACCAGTGCTTAATCTCGCATGTGGTCACCAAGCCTAATCAAAAACACAATATTATTTTTTGTAAGACGATAGTCTTAGTCTTTCTTGGGGACCTTAAACGCAAAAATTTTGGTCTGTCTGCCTGCCTGCCTGCCTGCCTGCCTGTCTGCCTGCCTGCCTGCCTGCCTGCCTGCCTGCCTGCCTGCCTGCCTGCCTGCCTGCCTGCCTGTCTGTCTGTCTGTCTGTCTGTCTGTCTGTCTGTCTGTCTGTCTGTACATTTGTATGTTTGTCCACTCTTAACGGCACCGGGTACTTGAAACGGTCGACCCCATCCACAGCGCCCATCAATGTTGCTTAAATATTAGCGTTCATACTTGTGCAATTATCAATTATAAGCAATTATTGCGCAAGTCTGGGGCACCATCACGACACGTATGTATTCTGCATGCGCATCTTTTGCTAGAAAAGGCATACATTGGTAATTTTAGGGACCGTAGCGCTTATCACGCTGCGCTGACCATGCAACGCTTGCACGAGAAGGTGAGTGTTGCACAAGAAGGTGAGACGTGATGGTGGTGGCACCTACCCGTCGCCTTGCGTTCTACACCTTATCATCCCTGAGACGGGCGCGCACACCCGTCTCAGAGCCACGTGCTTTGTTTTCCAAGAACACTGCCAGGTGGCGCTCATGTCTCATGTGTGATGTGACTTGATGCGCTGGTTCGCCTCCGCTGCACGCTCGAGGCACTCTAACGCAGCGCCTCAAAAAAATCATTCTCTGATTTTCTTGCGCAGAACATCAAATAAAATTTTCGCTCTCTCCACACGCAAGACTATCGTCTTTCGACGACATTTGCAGATTGCATGCAGATACGGGGCCATTTTTTTTGCTTAAAATCTTTGTTTCTACAATCATGTGCGGACAACGTCTGTTTTAGCCTTAATGACCCGATAAACAGGCTTGGTACAGCTGGGTACCCCAACCGTGTTTTGAACACTGCAGAATACTCATTCCAGTAATTAAAGGTATGGAAAGAACCCCCAAACGAAGCTTGCAGTTCTTTTCACAGGTTGGCCCACGGCCTGAAGTTGCATCGAGGTGTGGTGCAAACTCGACGTTTACAGCACCTTTCAATGTTACGCCCACCAACTCGAAAGATGCTGGAGTCCTGCACCACGCGGAGAAAAAAACACCTGTTATAAGTGTGCACGAGTCCAACTGAAATAATGATTGATTAATTTGTGGGGTTTAGCGTCCCAAGACCATCATGTGATTATGAGAGACGCCGTAGTAGAGGGCTCCGGAAATTTCGACCACCTGGGGTTATTTAACGTGCACCCAAATTTGAGCACACGGGCCTACAGCGTCTCCGCCCCCGTCGAAGGTCGAACTGAAAGATGCATTATTTGCCGGTTAAGTAAGCATGGCCGAGAGACGATACGTATGCGCACCTTGTGGCGCATGCTATAATCAGTGTTTGTGACGTATTATTCTCGAAACAAAGATTCCAGGTAGAAGCACAAGAAAGACAGCACGTGAATCTCTTAGAGAAGTGTTTTATATAGAAAGGAATCAGAACCGGCGTATGAGCGCATTTATGCTAACTGCTGCTTGGTCAAATGAATTTTATCGACTACGGGCTGTAACAAAAACAAGGAAAGAAAAGGATGTATGACTTGATAGCATGTTCTGTTGGCTTCTTTGACGTTTGCGTGCATGCACCACTTCATATATTCAAAGCATTCATGCTTTGAACAGAGGTTCCTCTATTTTCCCCCACAGATTCACGGGGTGGCGTCTTCCATTCCTCGAGTTCAACGCTTGGCTCTGTAAGAGAAACGGTGCTTTCAGATAGCATGTGGCCTTTCGTGGCGCTATGCGGTCAACAAATGGGGAGGCGTCTCTGCTGGGTAACTAGCGCTATGAAGTGGCACGGCATTGCATCGAGCCACAAAGAAGCCGCATGAAGGAACAATTTTGACAGGTGTGTGGTATTAGAGAAGGACACGGATCTATCGCATGTTTGTGGGAAAGCGCCCAGACGCACGTGTGATGCAAGCAGCCCTAACATTCATGCGACGCCGCATAACGCCCAATTTCTGAAATAAGGTTGACTGATGGCTTCTGTAGAACAGCGCGTGTTTGCACTAGAATTGAATTAAATAAAGGAGGCTTTGCTATGAATAACTACTTGAAAGTAAGTGCTGTAGGTGTTAGGTGTATGGGTGTGTGCGTGTGTTAATGTGGCTTGCGTTTGCGCTCTTACTATAATCACAACCCGCAGGTCGCGGGTTCGAATCCCGGCTGCGGCAGCTGCATTTCTGGTGGAGGCGGAAATGTTGTAGGCCCGTGTGCTCACATTTGGGTGCAGGTTAAAGAACCGCAGGTGGTCGAAATTTCCGGAGCCCTCCACTACGGCGTCTCTCAAAATCATGTGGTGGTTTCGGGACGTTAATCCCCACATATCAATTAATCAATCAATCAATTAATCAATCAATCAATTAATGAATCAATCAATCTAACCATGTTTTAAAAAACTGGCAGATCCCACGTATAGTGGGAATTGATATGTGAAGCACGATTGAAGAAGATTGATATGTCACTTTAAAATCACCACAACGTTACGGGCCGCATGGGTGTAGCACACAAATATAAATGTTACGCGCACTCGGGTATCTGGATAAGATGCAAGCACGCTGTATATCGCGTAACGACGGCACCACTAACATTTTCAATACCAGCCCCGCCAGTGGTATAGGGATGTAAATTATGCCGTACATGACTTCGATGTCCTGATTATCATGTTGGCGCCTATATTTGTTTGTTGTCGTCCATTGAAGTCACGTAATGAAAAAAATTAGTATATGTCAAGCTATCGAAACGGTCGCGAGCGCATCATGAGCGCGGTATATAGTCCTGTTCTTGCCAGACACGAATGTCATGATTGTCATGTTTGCACCAGTCATATTTGTTTTTA